CTACATAAGCATACAGCGCAAAGAGCACATTAAGGTACTAGGCATTATATATCGATAAAACGCCAAGTCCACTCAATGGGTAGAAAAAGCGCTGTGCACTACGAAACAGACAACAAGAGTGCTGTAAATGTTGACAAATCGCGCTTGGGGCCTTTCCGAAGGTCAAGTCAAAATGCTCGTACAAACGCTCGTCCACTCAAGGATTTCTATATGAACTACCCTTCCTGCCAATGACGGCGACTTAGCTTGAAAAACTTGAATGCATCCAAAAAACATGCATTCGCATCGCCACAGGGCTACCGAAATACACTAAAGTCGAAGACCTGTACGGAACAGACCTACTTCTTCCATTACGTGACTATGTAGAGCCTGCACTGCAAGCTCAAAATGAGCGCCTCAAGCTAACCCGCCCTGGAAGAGTCATCAGAAATGAGCTAGGTCTAAGCAACCAAGACCTGCCTCAAGTTCTACTCACTATTCCGCCAAGGGAAGCTGTTACCGTGACAGATAATCGGCCGCTTCCAAAACATATGAGCCAAGCCTCAGACAAGCAGTGAAGGTGATACTACGCTCTGCGTCATATTGAACACCTTAAAAGTATTCTCGAACGAAGAAGATATAATGTACACGGATGCCTCATGCACTCTAGAAGGCTCCAACATAGGGGCATTTCTCAACCTGAGAAGAACGGATGCATCCTCATTCTTTAATACTGAAACCTGCTTACTGCCCGAAGCAGCTGAAGGGTATGCTATTTCTGAAGCTCTAGTCCATTACAATCAAACAGGATCATCGCCAAAAGGTATTCACATCTTGACGAATTCGCAGCAAGTGCTTAAACACTCCGAACTGGAAGAAAGCTACCAGCATACACTAGGCACATCCTGCACAATGCCGCCCAACTTAAACAACAAGCAGTCCGGGTAGAAATTCATTGGATTCCTGGGCACACAAATATACCGGGACACGAGCTAGTTCATCAACAAGCCTTGCAACATCACAGCAAGGAACGACTCCGGGATGCGAGCTCGAAGCATGCCGCAACGATGACCCAAGATGAGACCCATTAAGGCAACTACCGAGCGAAAGTTCAACGTCGGTGGCAATTAAGAGCCAAACTAGAAGAAGCTACAAAACACGATGCCCCACCCCCAAGATCCACCCGCCTCTATGAGGTCAAACTCAGAAGATTGTAAACACGAAGCTTCACGACAGTCCCGGTCCTTCACAGAATACAACCGACAAAGTACTCCGACCCCAACTGTGACTTGCCACGAGCCAGCAACGACGGAGCATATCCTCTGGGAATGCCCTTTTCACGAATCAAGCCGAGCTGCTTTTATGAAAAAAGCCCAACGTACCCTGCCTCAGCTACAGCAAGACATGAAAGGTACTACCAACTGGATACTTGAAGACCAACTCATTATAACCAGCCTGAACCTGTGAGGTGCTGCCTTGCGCAGCACCTCTGTTCCCTGCTTAGCAGTAACAGGCTGACCAGTTTGAGGTCACCGAAGTTTTTTTTTCCATGGTGCTGAAGTCAACAAACGAGAGCACATAGTCAATAGTCCAATAAAGTTTTCAATCAATCAATCAATCAATCAGTGCGCGCCCGTCTCGGAGGTGATGAGGTGAAGAACGCAATGAAATGGGTACCTGCGACCACCGTGTCGTCTGAACAAAGCGTTGGAAACACTTGCCTTTCGTGCAAGCGTTGCATGGTCAGCGCAGCGGGATAAACGCTATGGTCCTTAGAATTCCTTTTTGATGCCTTGTCTAGTAAAAGATATACGTGCAAAATATTGACGTGTTGTTATGGTGCCTCAGATATGCGCAATAATTGCATTTTTACTTGACAGTCGCAGAAGTATGAACAAACAGACAAACGTAGAGACAGACAGACAGACAGACCAAACTTTTTTGCGTCGAAAGTCCCCCAGAAAGACTCTCGTCTTTAAAAAGGAGTTGCTTGACTGGATCAGTCTTGCGGCGCTCGACGCTTCTGTGAAAGGGGGGGGGGGGGGGGGTTAGTGAAGTTAACTCATTTGACAGCCCGGCTTAACATTCCGAGACCGACGGGAAATGGAAGTGAAAGATGATGGGAGAGATTACAGTGCTGCTGCTGCTGCTTTTTTTCTTTTCAGTCCTGCTGCCATGGCAGTTACAACAGTTCTTTATTATTATTATTTTTGTGGAATACGGCACTACCAGCAGTGCTAACACCAGAATATGCAGCAAGCTGGTATGCAGGCCCAGAATAGGCTGACGTTAAACCCCACAAATCAATCAATCAGTGCTAACACATAGTTCCGACCTGGAGAATACAACGACTCTGGCCTGTGAATAAAAGAGGGAGAAACAAGTTTGAGTCACTCGTTGTGACGTTCCACGTGCATCACCTTCTATGCCCTTCGAACGCTTTCACGCATTTTCTAGTACAGCAAACTGGTCGACCTTCCCTTATTTCAGCGAAAATGCAGTTGGCTAAGGTGGTGTAATGCTTCTGCCTGTTATTGTTTATTCATTTTGTTACATTGTAGTGAACTTTTTCTTATGTGCTTGAAGCTGTTCGTCAAACATGCTCGCACAATAAATACTTTGAAAAATGTTTACTACGACAAGTATCAAAAGAGACCGGACATGGAAAATAAAAAAAAAACAATGCCAACCTATCTAGAAAATTATTTTCCCAGGGAGAAGACGCTAGGCTTTCCTTAAAGACAGGCCGAAACTAGGCAAAGTGTAAGTATGACGATGAGCACGCACTAAAATGCGACTGCAATAATCAGAGTTATTTGATCAAATTAGGATATGATCGAGGGGGGTATTCCTGATGCCGTCTACGAGAGTACCAAATAAGATTACGTTGGTCAAAAATTGCTTTTGAATGTTTCAGCTAAGATAGAGCTATCGATTTCAAAAACTTTGACCAGTTTGGAACTTTGTTCGCGTAAGGAGTTGTGTTTTTATCATGTTCCGGCTGTGTCACACCGGATTACATCGAATGTGCTTCCTAATATTGAACGCTCACGCTGTATTTGCGGGGGGGGGGCGCAGTTTTAGTTGTTTCTTTTCATAGACTCGCAGACTGTAGAGGATTATTGAATGTCATGGTTATTGAGTGTAAGTGTTCTCAGTTTCTGTACCTCTCGCGTGATTTGCAGTTCTCACATATACTTTTTTCGCTAAGTCATGCAGGACGGAACCTTCGAATATAGCATCCGATGTTCTACTAACTCTGCGACAACGGCTTCACCGCCCCGTTAACGTTATGGGGTAGCACGAGTGGGGGGAACTGGCACTGTAGCTTAGTAAGGTAGAGAATATGACGCCTTATTCCAAAATCGCAGGTTTCGGTCCCTCATAGCAGCAACTTGTCATTCCTTCCACTTTACTTTTCTTGATGTTTATGCAATAATCACGACATATAACATCTCCAATACATTTCTTGGCATTATTGTCTTTTTTTCATTAGTAATGTGCTCAAGAACAAAGAACAAGCCCATAAATTGTCACTTGATTCTTTATATGCAATATCTATTCGCATCATTAACACCATAACAATGCTAACCTGACTGCCATGCTTAGCTTTTAGATGTGATACCAAATTCTGTCGAAGCAAAAATTTATCTCGATCATTTTCGTTCGCACAGTGGTGCTTGACGCGTACAAGCGCGACAGCACACAAGCGTGTATGGCAGAAGTGGAATCGCGAGAAAGCATCCTAAAAAGCATCGCGCACGCTTCGAGCAAGTGACAGGGGACCGGGACTATGAGCGCCCCCAATAAAAAATTAGGAAGCTTTCCGTCGGACGAGTTTGTGAACGTACTTACTAATTTTATAGCACAAAAAACAATCGCAAGTGGAAGATTACGAGAGAATAATGTACACGGGGGTCTAGAGGAGTTTGGCAGAGCACATTTCATCTTTTCAGGCAGCTCACCATAGAGAGGTGAAAATGTTAAAAACACCGTGCCATCGCATCAGCGCAGGCTGTAAGGAATTATCCGTGGGCCAAAGTTATCTGCGGCAGTGTCATGCAAAACGTTCCCGGTTATAGCCTAATAAAACTTGTTGTTGGGCTAGTTGGTTATTCGTCATATTGTAAGAATTTAGCGCAACCATGACTCGCGCAAACGATCACACAAACCTCAAACAGCCACCCGAGTGACACACAGGACACGCAGTGCTCACTGCCAGCTGTTTATTACTTCCAAGTGACGTTTATATAAATGTACATAATAATGCGCAAATGCAATAATCAACAGAGCTGTGCATGTGAAAATTCTACAGCGCGTGAGTTACATAGCGGCGCCACACAGTAAGGAACAAGTAAAAAGAAGGAAAACACGAAAAGCAGTTAAACCAGCTGGAATCACTAAATCTTTGCGTCAAAAGTCCTTGCCCAGTTATGCCTCGTCAGTTCAGAAAGAAAGCCTGAAGGCAGAAAGTGCGGAGGCAGCCTTATTTGTTGCTTTTCCATCTCTTCTTTCGTTCATCAAATATTGCGGTGTTTTTTATGTCTTTTTTTCTTCATTTCTATCTATTTCTTTCACTCACTGCATCGAATATTTTATCATTCTTGCTCTATTTTTGTTCCTATGCTCGCATGTTCGCTCTTTCTATATTTCAAGCTTGATTTCCCCGTTTTTTTATTTTTGTACGCGGTTACGCAGAGAGCACTTGCTTCTCTTTTTGGCTGATGACCATAAGACATCATTGCGCTTGAAAAACAAGCGAAAGCTCGTTGGCGCCAGTGCACGCTCTCAATATGCCACAACACATGGAGCGTTACGACAAGCAACGACGGTAGCACATGACAGCCAGGCACACTAAAATGCTCTGTACCTATATAAAGGCTAAAAGGGCTGTTAAATGCACGTTAACTGAAATAAATATACGGTGCGATTGTGAGTCCAGCTTAAACATTAGGGCACAAGAAGCATCACTGCGATGCCTGGGATGACTGGATGTGCAAAATGAAAAATGGGACACTCACCTGGTTTTTGTCGAGCTCGCAGTTCTTGTACTCCTGCTCTCCTTCGTTCTGAAAGGTGACAATCACGAAGCCGACGAATATGTTCACCATAAAGAATGCGATGATGATGATGTATACGATGAAGAAAACTGCCACGAGGGGTCGGTAGTTGTACAGGGGGCCGTGGTTCTCCTCATTCGAATCGATGGCCACGTACAGAAGGCTGCAAAAGAAAGAACGACACATCGTCGTGCTGCCCTCTCCTAATAAAGATAACCTTAGCACTCACAGAATTGAGCGAACTGTGATACTTCATTCACTCATTGTGGGCTGAGGTAATAACCAAGAATATAGTGCTTGATATGAGGGGTTTCACGACCCGCAACCACCATATCTCGAAACGGAAGTCGGGGCAGACGGGTGTCGTAGCTCCACAATTCATTGCGTGAGCCACAATTTTGCTATCCACCCAATGAAGGAGCTGTGGCTATAGACATTGTATTGGGTTGGACGTCACAAGGACCTGTGAAGTAGAGAAGCTTTGTTGAAAGCCCATCCAGGGTGATGGTATGCATATTAAGAACAGATATACATAAGCTAGAGGAGATTCACGACGATCTGCGGTCATTGCGCATTTTCACTATTACGAGCGTATCCCCCGAGAAAGAACAGCTCATTTTTTTTTCAAGCTCGTTGCCCGTGTTCATGAGAATATTGCCAAGAAGGGTCGAAAAAGCGAAGTTGCAGTGCCATGCAAAGAACCTGACATACAAGTTATTATCATAGCACGTAACCGCCTTCAGAACCTTGTACGCAGGCTATAAACTAAAGAGGGCCTGGTGGAAAGGTATGATCATGCCATCTGACAATATATTGACGCGGGCAACGCAGGAGTGTTGTGAGAAAGGAAACACAAAGAGCAGCGTACATACTACAAGCCGTACAAAGAAGTTATCCGTGAAGACTTTCTCACTACGAAGCTAGGGTTAGTATTGATTCCTCATCGCATGCAAAACACCAGAAATTGCTGAGTGATTGCCTACAATCTGGTCCGAACTTGAATCCTCAGCTGCTACAAGTACTCATGCGATTTTGTTGGTTCAAGATCCCAATGACTGTAGACATGGAACAAGCGTTGCGGCCGGTTGATGTTAAAACTCAAGACACAGGTTCTTGTGGTTTACTGTAAAGCCGGCGTTACCATTCACAGACGACGGCATGTTGGTCTGTCAAATGACGAGAGAACCTTTCGTATCGACGTCAAGTTCTTTCACGCTTACAGCGGCCATTCAGCAGAATGCCAAAACAGGTGTTGACAACGAGCAGCAGAGAAAGTCTCAGCTACTGGCCAACTCATTCTATGTAGACGATTTGCTTTTTGGGGCAAATAATTCACAAGCAGCTGTAGAGCTATGCGGTACCACAAAGAAAATAATGATTGACGCTGGAATGCCACTTAGAAAATGGACATTTTGTCAAGAGCTGCAGCTTATGTTGAACCCAAACAAGCGAGCTCTACCTAACATCCGTGTACAAAACTCATTCAATACAAACGTCCTCGGAATGAAATGGAACATGGAAATCGACACCCTTACTTCCAGTTCCTAAAATATCTTGTCATTCCTGAAAAAAGCTCAAGATACACAGCGCTTTCTTCTGAAAGCAGTATCTAGTATTGCGACCCACTGGGACTCGTTGCTCTTTTGTCGTATGAAGGAAGATCCTATTTCAGCAGTCGCGGTTTCTTAAAGTCGAATGGCATGAAAAGCAGCCAGATGACATAGAGGCAGTGGAAGAGCTGGTCAAGTGATTTGGTTCACCTTCATGGTTCCGCGAGGTTTCACGTCAGAAGCAGCTGAAATTTGTGAGATTCGCGTACACGTATTTGTGCACTCCAGCACTAAAACTCATAGAACCTGCACACATGTTCGCACTGAATTAGTTAACGGTGCCATGAGCACAAGTGTCATTTCTGCTTAATCCAGAATTGCCCCGTTGAAGTTTTTATCGTTTCCATGCCTCGAGCTAATGGAAGCTCTAATAAACTACAGATAGCTGAAATATATAGAAGAAGCATGTGCCCCCTTTTTTGACACACCAATTTCTTTCACCTGCACAGATTTTACAATTATCTTTATTGGGATTCAAGCAAATTCTTGCAAGCAAGAAGTCTCCCTTAAAAATCAAATCACTGAAATTAAAACAGTTACACAAATACGGAATTGCAGCTCGCGGCACTGCCCAGGTGATAGAGATCCTGCGGATTTGCAAACAAGAGGTGAATCGCTGAACACCTTGATAAACAAGGATGTCTGGTGGCAAAGACCGAGTTGGCTCTGGCTAAGTCCATCTGAATGACCATAAAGGAATTTTTTAGGCACTGAGAAGGATCATGAAGTATTGATTCGGCATATATAGCCCTTCAAGTGGGTGACAAAACACATCAGCGGAAAGCGTCAATATTCGATGTAACAAGGCGCAGTTCTCTCATAAAACTGCTGAAAGTCTCGGTGTGGGTACGCAACTTCGTATATAACGCTAATAAAAGTTGCCCGAGGTATGGATACCTGAAAACCTAGGAAGTATCGGCAGCTGAGCGTTATTGGGTGAACCAAGTTCGTAGTGAAGCCCTGGGTGGCGAAGTGTTAGCGCTTGCTAAGAAGCAGGATATACCTAACGCTTCAAAGGTGACTGACTTGCGACCATTTCGGGATTGAGAAAACCTACTTCGAATTGGTGGGAGACTACAAAACCTCAATGAAAGCCCTGGTACAAAGCACCCACGGCTCTACCAGGCAGTCACTATTTCACGTTTCTTGAAGTTAGATATTCTAATGTTCGCACAATGCATAGAGGTCTGAGAGAACACTCCTGAGTTATGCGAGCTCGGCGAATAGTGAAAACAGTGATACATCGTTGTGCGTTATGTGTTCGCTAAGAAGGGATGGCAAGCTCACTGCCACAAGCTCCACTTCCGATCTTTGCTCCTTTTCCGGCATTGGACAGTCTAAGCCATTCGACTCTACAGAAGTAAACGTTGCAGGACTAATTTTTGCCAAAAAAAAAACGTACAATGCAACTAAAAAAGTGTGCATTGTGATTTTACTTGTGCATTAACACGCGCGATACATTTGGTGGTTGACATGACGGCGAAAGGCTTCCTGCTGGCATTCGGACCACTTACTGCTAAGAGACGATTGCCCAGCGTCATGCACTCAGCACATATCGTAAAACTGACTCATGAGTCGACTCAATCAGACAGAGATTAAGGCGTGAGTCTCAGTCTGAGTGACTCCGACTGAGTTATACTTAGGTAAGTCTGAGTCCGAGTGAACTCGGAAGAGTTGTATTTTGGTGAGTCTGAGTGCGAGTGAGCCTGGTTGACGAAAATGCTCGTGAGGTGGTATTTGAGTGAGTCAGGCTAAGTTATATATTTCGTGAGTGTGAGTCTGAGGGAGACCGCTTGTGGAAAACAGTGGCGTAGCCGAGGGGAGAGGGGGTTGGGGGCGTTCAAACCCGCCCTAAAATTTTTCGCGCAAGCCCACTTCCTTCCACGCAACTTACCCACCTTTTTTTCACCGCTTCGCGAAGACATGACTTAGAAACTAAGTATCGCTACCATCAAAATATTGTGAGCGCTGTCACCGGCTCCTTTTTGTCGATTGGATGTGTCATCATCATTTGTATAATTTCCTCATCTGTAGATACCATCGTCAGTGTGTGCCATCTCGAGCTCCTCTCGAATAAAGCTCTTCTTCGTAAGTGGTGGGTGGTGCTTCTCGATCCCCAAGTCCTCTCGCACGTTACCACTAGAGCTCCACTCGGGTCGTCGTCTACTACCACCTGCCATGGCAGTGCAAGACAATTCTGGTTCATTCAACACCACCGGCACAGTGCAGCCTCCACCGTCGACCCTGGCCATCCACAGCCACCAGCGTGATACGCCAGTGTTCTCGGTTCTCAAAGGGGATGACGTTGAATAATGGCTACACACCTATGACCTTGTCAGCGAGTTGAACAGGTAGGATACTTTACACAAATTACGTACTGTCCCTTTCTACCTAACTGATTTAGTCAAAACCTGGTTTTGGAACCACCTCCAAGATCTTCCCGACTGGGACAGGTTCGCATGGCAGCTTCGTCAGATTTTTGGTTCCCCCAGTGTTCGCGCTGAAGCAGCAAAGAAGAAGCTTGCTGAACGCACTCAACTGGTGGGTGAATCATACACCTCGTACATTGAGGACGTTCTTGCCTTGTGCAAGCGTGTAAACTCATCTATGCCTCAAAACAACCAAATACGCCATATTATCAAAGGGATAAATACCGTCGCATTCAACGCCCTTGCATCGCAAAATCCCACCATGACTGAAGATGTTATCACCATCTGCGAGAGACTAGAAGAAATTCAGCCTATTTGTCTCTGCCATTATGCCTCGAACACTCGTCTTCCTGTGGTCCTTGACATCCGTGCCCTGGTCCGCGACGACGTTCGTGAGAAGCTTCATGGGTGCTGCTCTTCCTGCGCTCCACCTTCTACTTTATCCTCAGCTCCAACCAACTTGAGGGACATCATTAGGCAAGAGACTGCATCCGTATCACACCCACCTTGTTTAGCCAAATCCAGACCTCGTCAGGTACCAACGTAAGCAGAAGTTGCGGCACTCTCAGCACACACCACTATCCCAGCAGCTATACCAGGTGCCCATGTACCTGTGGCGTCAGTGTCACCACCGATGCGCCCACAGCCTTATTGCACTATGCCGCATCCTCCTCGTCCAATCTGTTTTTATTGCGGCTATAGGGGTCACATATGTCACTTTTGCCAAAGGCGCCAACGGGACCAGCAACGTGGCTACGCTACAGAGGAACGCAAACGCTTCAGTCCACTCATGAACTACCAGCGCACGCCTTACCGGTCTTCTTTTCAGAGTTCGCCTTCTCCACCTTATAGTATTGGTCTGCCTGTGACCTCCCGTCAGTCTCGCCGCCGCTCACCATCTCCCAATCGCTGTTCCATGTCGCTTCTGCGACCCGCCTTCATTGTTCTGAATGCCCACTCAGAAAACTCCCCAGTGCAGTTTTAGGAGGGCAAATTGCATCCACCGGACAGCCAGCAATTCCTCTAGACAGACCATCGAACTTGTTAACAGTGTTAGTAGAAGGTATACGCATCGAAGCACTAGGGGATACTGGCGCTGCTATTTCGATTATTCACTCTGACCT